CTCTTACTGTTTACAGTGTTTCATTAAATCTTACTTGTTAACTAACGTATTATATAATTATTATTTATTGCTTGCCGTAAAACACCGGTATTTCCACCAAGACTTCGGAAAAATATAGTAACTCATACAAATTTTAAACTTTTAAATACAACTTTTAAAAAGTATTCATAAGAAAAAAATAAGAAACAAGTAGTTATCTTGGTTTGATGAAATGATGACTTATTTGATGTTACCACTTCATTATCTTCAGGTGTTGATTTCAGTTCTAAAGTTCAATTTGCACAAAAGATATAAAAAACAAGAAAAAAAAACAACTATAAATCATGCACTTATCGACAATCCACTAAATTTGACAAGGCAAAATATAGAACGATGAATGGGTAGTTAATGCAATGAGCAACTCAATAAAACTAATATTTACACTGTTCCCAAGCATAAATGAAAAAAATATTGAAATCGATTAACTTTCAGGAAAGAAAAGTATTGAAGAGAGAGAGAGAGAGAGAGAGAGAGAGAGAAGAAAGTAAGTTAGAGATGAATACCTTTTCGGATAATGCTAAAGATTATGTCGTCGCCTCTCACTGTAAATCATGCAACTATCAACAATCCATTAATTTGACATGAGTGAGTGCTCTTTACACTACCTCTTAAATTTAGACTAAACTATTTTCACTGTGTTTTAAACATGGTTACACTGAATCTTTCGGTGTAATTATGTTTCGGTTAGAATGTTGATAAATGCAACAGTGCATCTGTGTTACTGAATTCTTAATTTTTTAATTAATTAATTAGATAAATTATTTGTTCCTTCATGTGACTTATTTGAAAATTTTGAAAAAAAAAAAGAACAGAAAGGTAGATAACTTTAAGTTATGGTTTCAAAAATATGAAGAATCATTAAAATTAATCAGAACTCAAATTACGATTATAAAAATAAGCTAATGAGTTGCATTAGAAACAAAGCAATGTACTTCCATAAATATAAATTATTGGTGAAAGGTAGTGGAATAAAAAGAGGAAAAAGAAAGGAATAGGATTAAGTGTCAATGGGTATGAACATTTCACAGGTAAAGCTGACTAAAACTGATTACTATTTCGTTAAATGAGAATTTCTAACTTTATAAGAAAATAAACAAATTGGAATAGTCACACAGAAAGGAAATCGACAATAGGACAAGAATTAGTCCTTTATTTCAAATGCCATCAGGTCATGCCAGTCACTTAAAATTCTTTGTTCTGAGTTCCCTTAGAGAAACAAATAGTTATCCTAATTCTTTTGCCTACACATTTTAAGTGCACATTAAGTGATCGTTTTTCAGGTCTGAGTAATGATAAATCCACAGTCGCATCAAAAAAAAAAAAAAAAAAAAAAAAAATTCAGAGGATAGTCTGATAAAACTAAAACTAACTCTATCCTATAACCTGGACAATATAATTGAATCCTCAATTCCTTCCCTTTCATTTTTTTCAGAATGCTAATTTACTTATATGCTGTCTTCTTTTCATAATCATTTGATGAATAACTTGTTCAGTCTAGAAAAGTTTAGGTAAAGTTTAAAAAACATAACTTCTAAATGAGTAGTTCAATCGAAGAAACCCACATCTGCTAATTTTTTCAAAAGTTCATTGATTTTCTTGTCCTTAGCTTATATTTAAACATTATCTCTCATTCTTGCTCATTTAAAGTGTAAGGTTGCATGTTGATTAACCGAAGAATAAATTCAGTAACCTACCAAACTGTACCTATGGCGAGTTGAAGTCAGAGCTTTATGTAATAAATAAGAAGACTTTATCTTAATTATAATTTCATACATTTTATCCTTATCAGAATAACTTTAACGTTTTTTCCAAAACAACAAAAAGTATACCGAAAGTTTCGACTTATTAATTTGATGATATTTGTAGTTTCTGTCATAAAAATTTCGTCGTATGACAGTGGCGGTTGGATGATGGATCATCAGCCCGTCGCTTTGGTTTTAAAATGTCAGAAAATCCCAGAATTTTCTGACAAAAATTGCTTTTGACAAAACACTTTTCCGTTGTTGGAACTTTTGACGAAAATAGCAGAATAGATTGGATTACCAAGTAAGCGGCATCAGCAAACGATCACCATCTATTTGTTTGTCTAGGTTTTAAAAAACATTTGAATCTTATCAGAAAACTCGATTTTGTTGGTAAAGCAAAAAAGAATAAAATTATTCGACATATCGTCGAATGGAGGTTGAAAGAAAAGCGATGAGAAGGATGACAGAGAAATGTAAATATTAGGAGACAAAATAGATAAAAATGGATGTGACTACGAAAGCAATAGACTCGAAAATAATTCCCTATCAAAGTACAAAGAAGTTAAACTGGTGTAATTTCGATCAATTTAATTACTTTAATGAATTTGAAAGGCGGAAACCGTAGTAACTACTCGAAGGGATGGGACAAAAGTATAGGCTTTGGATTTCAGATAGGGAAAAAGACTGCGAAGAGAGTGAATGTGGAGATTGAGGGAATAGTTATTACTGGATAGATAAACAGATATTAACAAGAATTGTTGAAGAAAGATAACAAAATAAACAAGTAAAGAAATGAATCGAACGGCGAATTCGTCGTACCCAAACGTTCTTTAAACTCTTAGTTTTTCCACTGCTTTCTATGAATTATTTTGAAAGAAAAATATATAAATCATGATGTCTTAAGCGATTTAAGCTTCTTTTCAGGTGTGATCCCAAGCGTCAACGAAACAAATTCTTTAACTATGTCTCTCATGATCTCTCGTCTCTAAAAATAATATTTTTACAATGGACTCATGGTAAGCCGATAAACGAACAAGTTTAATTAACTATTATAAATAAAATACACACTCTCACTTCTAGTAGCCCTGTAATTTGACAATTTCAAGCTACTTGTTTCATTTTAAAAACCACGTTTTCCATTTAAATTGAGAGTGTTAAAATGAAACAGTAGTACAACAATTCATTCCTCAGTATTGAAGGAAAAAGTTCACATACTAAAATAGCTAATGGTAGCTGTCCCATGGACGCATCATTCACACATTATTGAAATAGTGTAAATAATGGAAATGAGAATATGGATGGGTAGGTGATAGTGCAATAAGAAAAAGTTGGAAAAATTGAAGACTTTGGCTTCTTGTCCTCTTCTCAGCAACAAAAAAAGGTTTAATTGTTTGCTGCCATATTTCATTGCATTGCTTGTAGTAGTAAGAATTGCCAGCGGTCAATCTTTTTTGGTCATCGATACTACAACTGACATAATGACCATTAGATGGACATCAGTGAATTAATTTATTGTAGTTTGAGATGGCGGTGTTTAAATAATCTCATGCAAAACGATTAATTGAATTCACAATGAATGTGTTGGAATGATAATAATAGAAGGAGCTGGTGAAGGAAGAAGAAGAAATCAAAAGGATTGGATGGATGAGAAAGACGGTCTAGAAACGGATCTGAAAAGTAGGCTGAATTGCATTTGCAGCTGATAATCATAAACATTTCTACACATTAATATATTAATTTTGTTAAACGAAAGATTTGGAAATCACGCAAAAAATCACTCGAAAATGTGACAATTCCTTACCTTTTAATTTATAAGGAGAATATGAATACTGAAGGAAATACGGATTAAATGGGTCCAGGCCAAAATGAAATATTTAAGTTAAAAATTTTAAAAGGGTGAAATTTTAAATTACAAGCCTTAAACGACATATATAAACAGAAGACATATATTTCTTCAAAATTTATTTATTTCGACTGATCTGATTAAGTTTTTTGAGAAAAACAAGAAAACTATTGCGCTCGGAAACCGATATTGTTCAAAAATTTCAGCAAATAGCTAATTTCTTTTTATTTTGTTACTAATTTTATCACTTCACAAATTATTGTTGAGTTGATTAACAAGTAAAAATTTTCAATTCCTTCCAAAAAAAAAAAAAAAAAAAAAAAAGGAGAACTTTTACATTATTAGAAGCCAAGTTTGAGATCCGCGGCCAGGTAAAAAGACGAGATTTCTGAAATTTGAAAAATATGACACAATTCGGAGGCACTTAATCCGGATAACAAAAAAGTCTGTTAAGTAGGATATCAGCTACAGACAGAATAAAGAGAAGAAAGAGAGGAAGGAGAAAGATATTCGATGGGATGAAATTAAATTTTCAGTCGATGTGTATTTATATATATAAGTGAGATGTTAATAGAATTTGCTGATCGTAGACAAGAAATGATGAGTAAAGAGGATTGCGAAGAATTAACAGTGTTCAGTAATGGTTAGCGAAAGTTTGATGAAAATGAAGAACAGATGTTAGGGAACATTTAGACTAGTAAATAAATATGAACAGATGAATGTTAAGTAGAGGAAGTAAGGCCTAGGATTTCATGTAAACATTTCTTCGCATCAACTGTTTCACTGTAGTTCTATCTATTTCCTTCGTCTATGTTAATGATTGGAAAATAGATAATGGAGGAAAATAGATGTCACATAATTTTAATGTAATTAAAAAGGGAAGTGACTCACTCATATAGAAGCAATATCTGATTATATTTTTGGATAGATAGTCACGAAAGATTGCTTTAAAGTTGAATTGAAGGGAAACTGATAGAAAGCAAATGGATGATTTCCTCATGAAAGAAAAGCATCTGCTTATTCTTTCACCCTCTTTTTGTGATCCGATGTCCTTCCTGAACTGAGGTTTTTAGAACTCTTTAACATCAGTGAAATTTATATCTTGAAATTAGAGTAATTTACAAGAAAGTGATGACTCAGAAACCAAATAAGTACAGCTATTTAGCTGAGAGATAGGATAGTGAAGAGAATAAGCGGTTCAAATTAGGCAAGAACAGTTGAGAATAATTAAAGCAGCATCATATGTGAAATGGATCAGTTACTAGACCGGACCGGAAGGAACTGCTTTGGCATGACATTCTTAAAACTCATGAAATGCAAGAGATGGCTTTCATCTCGAGACCGTCACCGCTGCATAGTCGGACTCATCGGACTTAGTTTTCATAGTGACTCAGAGTGATCCGAACATGTTCGAAACAGTGTCTAAATCGATGTAGAAGGGCTGTATGTGGATGTATGAACTGTAGGTGTCATTTTGGATAGGGATTGGGCAGTTTACTTTAACCCGACGGGAAAGGCAAATAAGATGTGTGATTCCTATTTTTCCTTAGATGATGAATAATAGCACTGTCACGAGATAGTTGGACCTAAGCAGTAGGTGATCGTTTGTAAACTTCTATTGAAAATACTACGAATTGCGAATGAAATCAAAGAACTACATTGATTTCATTAATAACATATTGTGGAATTGGACAAAAATCAAGTTAATTTTTTTAAATGAAATCAAATTAATTTTGAGCAGTTTTACCTCAATATGAACATGCTTCTTGGTTGTAATTTTGCGTCGTCCTTTTTCTCGTTTTCGTCTGGCCCTCAAGTAACCATCCCGACTTTGTAAACCGGTGTCCAAGGCTGATAGATTTATTTTCCCCAAACCTAATGAGACACCACGAGCAGTACCCAACATTTGCAGTCGTAGGGTAAAATGATAGATTTCAGCTTCAAGTAGAGCGGATTTCAGATATTCCTTGTGGTGGATTATCTCTGCAGAGCTTTTCCAGTAGCCGGAATTCAGAGTAGAGAATTTCGCAGCTAAATATGGAAAGGTTATCCCATTTTAAGTAGTTGTTTCTTAGTAGACTCCTTGATTTCTCCATATGATCATGCAACCGTAATAGGTTCAATAATATAGTTTTAAGTAATAAATTCAGTCATGAAGCATGTAACTGATCCTAAAAATATTTTATAAGTGATATGCTTAACATATAGGTTATTGCAGTCCGTCATGTGCTCAAAATATGCTACGTATTTACATGGGAGGAAATAAGAATAGGATAAAGGATAAGAAAGCAGATTTAATTTTGTGATATGATTTTCTTTAATGTTAACAGTTCTCTCATTAGCGTAAATTAGTTGCAGTCATTTGATAAACTAGTAAAATTAAATTTCAGATTGGTTAGACCGGCGGTCGCATCTATACTAGCAAAAGTTGTAAAGCACGAGTATTTCAAGCTGTAAAACATCTTTGTGAAATCTTTTAGCAACATTTACTTTGTCACTTATATATATTTAAAGTCTTCATGTAATGTTGTTCTGCAATATCAGAATTGAGAGTCACGGTATCATGTTAAAGCACTAATACAAATTCAAGGTGCAGAGGAAAAAACCATTGTATCATAAAAAACAACTGTATATCGGTCAAACGAGTAATAATGTGTCCTGTAGAATTTATTGCTTCCGGTTAGCCGCTTTGGGTTGCCAGAAATCATCCAGTAGATTCCGTTTATTATCTATTCAAACCTGAAGTAAACACGTAAAACAAAAGACTCATATGAAGCAGTGGAGGATGGAGCACAATGATACTACGGCACCAGTTTAAGGATCTCCTTGACAAATAGATTAACTCTTTGAAGATTTCCTTAATAACAAGATTAACTCCTGTGTAGCTAAAATGCATGTTTAGTCACTAAGCTATAAATAAATCAAGATAACAGAAATCCGTATTTTTACACAGTTCCATATTTTTGAAAAAATTTTTAAAATTGAAGCTATAATTCCGTCTATTTTTAGGAGCTTTTTCAGGATAATATTTAAAACTTGAAACGATCAAGGCATACATGTTAAAAGATCAATCAAAATGAAAAAAATATTACTGCTCATTTAAATATATAAATATAGGGATTTAATTTTTCAATCAAAGGCTGAATAGGCAGGTATTTGTATGGTATAAATGAATAATAATACATCGAACAACGTAACATTTGACATATGCAACGGAAAGGAATAGGAAAGCAGTAGTTATTCAGAGTAAGTATATATATATATATATATTCAGGGTAATGTATTATGTGATGGAACTTTTTTTTTTTTGCTTTTTGTGAGACATAAGTGAAAGAGCAGTTAAATATTTATTTAGGAGGATGCCGAGAATAGGAAAGTGCGTAAAGCTCACTTCTTAATCTTTTCTTCATTAACATTGCTATTAACAAATACTTGCAAAAAAAAAAAAAATAAAAATAAAAATAAACGTTTAATAACATTTATCAAATGATTACTTTTCAAAATTTCATTTTTTCTTGTGCTAAAAAATTTTTTTTATTAAGAAATGAATTCAATGAGCCAAAAATTAGTGGCCCAATTATGCTGTCTAAACTAGCAGTCGTGCCAGTTGTCATTAGTGATACTTTCATTGTCACGCGAGCTTTCTTTGATAATCCATATTCTGGCATCTTGTGTATATTTTAATCTTTATTCCATTTTAGAAGTTCTTTCTTAATAGGATAGGAGTATTTAAGACACAATATTCATTTTTGAACTATTTAATAATAAAAATCTTCTTTTAATTAAAATGCCAAGTTTTTTTTTCTTTTTTTTTTCTGTTCTTTTGTGATTGCTCAAGCAAAAAGATAATAAAAGCAACAAACTACAAACATTTTCCACTACTAGCAATATATTGTGTATACAAATGATACAAAAGTGAACTTTCTTATATGCATTACCCTTCTCATTTCTTACCTGAAAATCTTGTAGTCAGCAAAAAGTTGCTAAGAATTTTGTACCATCAATGAAAGAAGAGGTGATCACTGAGGTACTAATGCATTAATAAAAGTTGCACATAGCTCTATCAAGAAGATCGTTTCAGATTTAAATTTAAGATGTAGAAGCAAATTAAGTATATGTCCTAATTCTTTTGAAGAATAAAAACGAATTCTTCTGTACTTTCACTTAATTGTTCAGAAAGATGTCTCCAATGGAACAATTATCCTTAAAATCCGCAGTCAAGTATTATTGTTCTCGGAGTTGGCTAAAGATATAACATAAATTTTCTGGAAGAAGAAATTTTCATCGTAAAAAATGGTCTTTTAAAAGAGCTAAACTGGTTGTAATTTCGTAAACAGTTCGATAGTTGCAAAATTGGTATAATAATTTGTGGATTGGGATCGGAGATCAGGTAGATCTCGAAGAGATCATTGATAAAAGTCCTGAATCACCCATTCATACATCAAAGAAGATATTTCTGCATAGAAATTCTCCTGTGAATTGAACTATTAGAGCAGGCAGATAGAGACAGACAGAAACTTATAGAGCAGATTATAAACATTTACAGGGAAATAAAATTAAATTAAATGATGCAACTTCACGGTAGTATCACATTGCTTCAAGCCGTATGACAAATAAGAGAGAAAGGCCTGAATGAATGAATGAATGGTCATAGGATGTAGAAAAATGTGTAAGGCAGTAAGGAATGGCATTTAGACAAATCCAGAGAAAAATATATAGTAAGGCTTGGTAATGCTGAATTTTGAATTTATAAGGTGACATGTCTATGGATGCGTAACGGATGGGTAGAGACACTCTCTGAGTCCATTATTCTAGCCAGAAACCCTATTCCATTGAGCCCAGTTTAGCAAAATGCTCATACACACACACACATATACACACACATACACACACACACACATACACATACACACACACACACACATATGCACACACATACACATACACACACACACACATACACATACACACACACATACACATACACACACACACACACATACACACACACACACACATACATACATGCATACACAGTCACAGACACCTATGCATAACTCGCGATAAAAGAGACGTGCAATGTATAGAAGGAAGTAAATAAGAAGCTAATTTGCATTGCACGACGTGTCACATTCATCGACCGGCTACTTCGTTCTTTATTTCACTTCTCTCATCAGTGTCACACTTCTCACTATTCCATTTAAGATTGTAAAAGTAGTTTAGCTTTGATTGTACTTATATTTGAGCACTTCATCTATCGATCATTTCAGCACTGATCGATCTGCTAATCAATCAGTACTAGACCTCTTCAGCTGCATTAAATTAATGAAAGTATATGTCTGTGACTCTCATCAACAAAATCTGATAGTCCACCGCAAATGTATCATTATTATCAAAAAGTATTAGATATTATTACTTTACTAAATCATACGATTAAATGGATAAATTAATATATAGCTATAAGAACGATAGATGTGTTATTACAGATATAATATACAGAAAAAAGACATACATCATTTTATATAGACAGAAGCAAACAGATAGTAAAAGATAAACACTACAAGCATAAAAGTCTAATAATTGAATGAAGTCATCTTCCAATCTGAAATTCAAAAATTGAGATCCTGGAAAAGTCTGAGAGATCGTTTAAGCCAAAATTAGTGCAACTAATATGTAGAAATGAAGCAATGACTTTATTCCTTCTGTGAAACTAGCTCATTTTACTTTTCAAATTGTACCTGTTAGTCATACTACAAACAGCTAGAAAATAATTCAATGAGATAGAAATGAAATAATAATAAAATCCTTTCCAAACACAAATAAAACAAGTCAATGATTGAACGAGTTATTATTGAGTAAAGCGTTATAAGTCATACCAATCACGTTGTAATCAGATGTCAATAAGACGCTTACACTCTCACATAACATCATAATTTCAAGCACAGCTTCAGTACTTTATAAATCTCAATGAAAATGAAAGCCTTGAGCCAAAAGGAATAGATGAGTGCTTACTGCCAATACGCATTTAAAGTTACGAATAGGCTTTTTGTTTTTCTATCTCCTCTGTCCTTTTATCTTAGCTGTCCTCATAACATAACACTTTAAAACTGAAAAAGAGCCTGGAATTCTAGAATGCTTCTTTGGTAGCACTTTTTCCCCTTTGCTTCAACTGCTTCTTGTCTATCCATTTGTTATTTACATTCATATTGGATCAAACGACCTCTTGCAGTCATTTTTCAAGCAAAAACCGTTATACCTTTTAAACAAAACAAGAGAAAACAGGACCATTTTTAATTCGTGCTCTTATATTGCCACATGCACACATCACATAATGAGGTAAAAGCGAGTCTACGACAAGTCATTCATCTGTACCCGATCAGTTCCTCAGATATACATCAATTTCAATGAACCGATCAATAAGTTATAAGCAAAAAGGTGGGTAGAGCTCATTGTTCACCAATATATTAATTTGTGTGAAACATGAAAAGCGATAAATTAAGAGTTGTCGATTTCTTACCCTTTTTTCATGATTATAATTATTGATTATCGTAACTAATTACACTAATACTCCATATAATCATTACTATAATCTCGTATTATAAAAAAAAAAATTTATTTTTTGTGTGATAACAATAATTAATAATAAATATATAATTTTTGAGCATAATAAGAATAATAATTTAAGAATAATAATAGCAACAATAATAATAATAGTAATAATAATAATAATAAACATGTCAATAATAATAATAATAATAATAATAATAATAATAATAAGAAAAAGAAATAAAAACTGTAACCGCATAATTTAATTTCTACATTATACGATTATGTTATTATACTGTATTATTGCAGTAGCACATTGCAAATAACTGCAGAATTGAACTGAGATGAGACTAGATTTCT